CTCTACTAAAATACAAAAAGTTAGCTGGGCATGGTGTTGTGTGCCTGTAGTCCCAGCTACTTGGGAGGCTGAGGCAGGAGAATTGCTTGAACCCAGGAGGCAGAGGTTGCAGTGAGCTGAGATGGTGCCATTGCACTCCAGCCTGGGTGACAGAGCGAGACTCCATCTCCAAAAAAAAAAAAAAAAAAAAGACATTACTGTATTAAATAATTGCCAAAAGACCACAGACCAGCCTGTCCTGTCCTCATCAACATGTGAAGGTGTGAAGCATACAGGCTCACTTTTGTACTATTTTAATATTTTGCTATGTGCATGTGATTGGTTTTCCAATTTGAAAAATAGCTACTTTTGGCTGGGTGCTGTGGTTTACGCCTGTAATCCCAGCACTTTGGGAGGCCAAGGCAGATGGATCACAAGGTCAGGAGTTTGAGACCAGCTGACCAACATGGTAAAACCCCATCTCTATAAAAATAAATAAATACAATAAAAAAAGAAAAATAGCTACTTTTTTTTTTTTTTTTTTTTTGAGACGGAGTCTTGCTCTGTCACCCAGGCTGGAATGCAATGGCACAATCTCAGCTCCCTGCCACCTCTGCCTCCCAGGTTCAAGCGATTCTCCCGCCTCAGCCTCCCAAGTAGCTGGGATTACAGGCACGTGCCACCATGCCTGGCTAATTTTTGTATTTTTAGTAGAGAAGGGTTTCACCATGTTGGCCAGGCTGGTCTTGAACTCCTGACCACAAGTGATCCACTGCTTTGGCCTCCCAAAGTGCTGGGATTACAGGTGTGAGCCACTGCACCTGGCCAAAAAATAGCTACATTTTTTATTTCAAAACTTCTAAGCATTGGACCATGAAAACTGTGTTTGTTTTTTTTTTTATTTTTGATACCACAGCAACAGCAATACATATTTACTGATTACGAACTCAGGTGGGGCCAAACCCAGTGCTAGGTGCTGAAGACGGAGCCTAGATCAAGATTGGCTTGGTTCTGGCATTCCTGAAGCTCCCAGCCTGGAAGAAGAGACAGTAACAAACAAGTAACAAACACAGAAATGTGATTCTTTCTAGGAATAATAGGTGCTCTGAAAAGAAGAACAACTGGGTGATATGATAGATGCTGGTTGGGATGGGGGCCTTCTCAGACTGGGTGACAGGAAAGGTCTTCTGAAATCTGCCTGTTATGCAGGAGCCAGCCCCTAAAAGTTGTGGAGGAAGAACAGTAGGAAGTGGGTGCCGTCAGGGCAAAGCCTCCAAGGTGGGACTAAGCTTGGCAGTGGGATTTCAGTGCAGTGAATAAGGTTAAAGAGTAGGAAGAGGTAAGGTCAGCGATGTAGGCAGGGACCAGATGAAGCAGAGCCTTGAAGGCCATGGTAAAGTGTTTGGGATTTGCTTTGACTATGCTGGAAAGCCTTCAAGGGTTCTAAGCAAGGGGAACTTGAACTTATTTTTCTTTGCTTGTTTGTTTTGAGATGGAGTTTCGCTCTCATTGTCCAGGCTGGAGTGGAATGGTGCAATCTCAGCTCACCACAACCTCCGCCTCCCGGGTTCAAGAGATTCTCCTGCCTCGGCCTCCCGAGTGGGTGAGATTATAGGCATGTGCACTATGCTCAGCTAATTTTTGTAGTTTTAGTAGAGATGGGGTTTCTCTGAGACACTGATCACCACCCGTGGAGGTCTATCCTGCAGACTTTGACTTAGCAATGGATGAATAAATGTACATACACACACTAGAATACAGTGAATGGAGTGGGCTAGGGATGGTCCTCAGCTGCTCTCAGAGGGCAGCTGCAGCTAACTGACTACTACTCCTTGTTCCTCCTCACATTTATTCACTATAGATTTAATAACAGAGGTTCTAAGTCAACATGCTTGTGGATAATTATCATGGTTAAAGAGTAGTTTTATGAATGATAAAAGCTTTTGGTTCTGGGGCCTAGAGTAAACACTATTAACAGGTAATTCCTTTCGACCTCCCCTTGAGCGGACCATCCAGCACAAAGTTTACATGAGTAAACAGAGTACAGACAAAGAGATGTGGGGTAGACAGACGACTAGGGAAGCTTTTATTATCTTTAATATTCACCTTATGATTTAATGCTCTAATGTAAGAACTGGCTGCTTTCAGCTTGTTCCGTAAGTTAATAAAAACCTTTTGGCCTTCCAAAACGTTAGCGATTATATCTTATAACTTTTCTGTAATATTTCCTTTAATATTTTGCCAGCCACCTTGAGTGAATCTCAACATTTCTCCATGTTGGTCAGACTGGTCTTGAACTCCCAACCTCAGGTGATCCACCCGCCGTGGCCTCCCAAAGTGCTGGGATTACAGGTGTGAGCCACTGCGCGTGGCCTGATTTTTTTTGAACAATCACTCTAGCTTCCGGGAGATGCCTAACCCAAATGCAAGTTTATAACTATATTCTAAAGTACTTTAGGGCCAGGTGCAGTCGCTCATGCCTGTAATACTAGCACTTGGGAGGCCAAGGCAGGAGGATGGCTTGAGCCCAGAAGTTCGAGACCAGCCTGGGCAACATCGTGAGACCCTTTCTCTACAGAAAAATTTAAAATGAGCTGGGCAGCCTGGCACAGTGGCTCATGCTTGTAATCCTAGCACTTTGGGAGGCCGAGGTAGGTAGATCACTTGAGGTCAGGAGCCAATATGACCTGGCCAACATGGCGAAACCCTGTCTCTACTAAAAGTACAAAAATTAGCTGGATGTGGTGATGTGCACCTGTAATCTCAGCTCTTCAGGAGGTGGATGCACGAGAATTGCTGCAACCGGGAGGTGGGGCTTGCAATGAGCTGAGATTGTGCCATTGCATTTTAGCCTGGGTGACAGAGTGAGACCCTGTCTCAAAAAAAAAAAAAAAAAAAAAAAAAAAAAAGAGCCAGGTATGGTGGTGACATGTGTCTATATATAGTCTGAGTTACTTGGAAGACTGAAGTGGAAGGATCATTTAATCCCAGGAGGATGAGGCCACAGTGAGCCATGACTGTGCCACTGCACTCCGGCCTGGGCAACAGAGAGAGACCCTGTCTCAAAAACAAAACAGAACCAAAAAAGTGAAGTACCATTAGGTCGACAAATCACGGTATAACAATTTTTTACATTTATTGGTCAAATCATATTTCTTTTACATAATTATTTGAGACACATTAAACAGCAAGTTAAATGTAAAAAGCAAAAATTTGTCTCCATATATTATGAATGTTAGCTAAAATTTTATTTGAAGTGACCTTTATAATACGATCTTTCATGTTCTAAAAATAGAACATGAATATTTTTAGTGAAAATCAATCACTTCTTTATCATATACTATCCAAAAATGACTAATTATTCAACATTTCCTAGGTGTATTCTGTGAGTCAAAAAAGGATTAGAAAACCCTGCCCAGTATGACTCCTTACCTGAGAGAAACAGCATCTCAGCACCTCACAGCCAAGTTGAGCCCTGTTAATATGCTCTCCAATGCACACAACCAGAGTTCCTTATTTATATAGTGTCTCCAAGCACCCAAGAGCCAATTCTAAAGGGAATTCATCACTGCCACCAACTGGCCCTGGGTCTCCATGGGTACCGTGCCTGTCTCCTGGGCATGCCTTTTGTGGAACGTTGCCACCCATCTAACACAGAAATACTCCTTCAACAGACAGGTCAGGCCTGGGCTGGGGCTAGAGGTGCAGAGACACCTGGGACCCAGGTCCTGTCCCAAAGGGCACTGCACAGATCACAGGATGGTGTGATAACTGGTGACAGTTGTAACTCGAACCCAGCTGGGGCTGGTGTGTGAGAAGCTTGAACTCAGTGTAGTGGTAGGCAAGTACTCCTGGAGGAGGTGATGCATGGTTAGAAGCCAGGCTCCCTAGACCGGATGGTGTTCCAAACATCAGGCTCCGCCTGTGCAAAGGCCATGGGTATCTAAGACAATGACATGTGGGGGACTGAGCCCAGCTCACTGCGGAAGCAGAGCAGGCTACACTGTCCTGGGGTGTCTGGGCCTTCGTCGCTTTCTAAATCCTCTGACCTGTCCCCATCAGAATCTCAACAGACTCATCTCCTCCAGGGCCTGCACTGCCCTCCCAGCATTGCCCGATTTCTCTCGTTTCCTAGGGATGGCCAGCTCTGCCAGCACTCAGAGGGCAGGGCCTCCTGGCATGCCCCAGGGTGAGGCTGTGTGCAACGAGTCCCTCCTTTCGTGTCTCCCAGGAGCCTGGGCCTTCAAAGCTGGGGGTAGCCACATAGCTAGAGGCAGTTTGACCATAGATCCCTGCGACCCATGATTCACTTTCACGGGTACCCACAATACATGTGTCTGCTCCACCAGAGGCTGCCCAGTGGGGTGAAGCGTGGGGCCCTGGGTCAGGCCACTGGGGTGCTGGCCGTCTCAGCCACCCACTGTCTTGCAACCCCAGGCAAGCAAGCCCCTTCTCTCCTCCGGGCCAGGGGCTTTCCAGATGAAACCAGCTGCATCCCTTTACTCTCAGGGACCTAAAATTTCAGCGACCATGTAGAGCCCTAAACTTTTTGCATCTTGTCCTCTCAGCCCGGCACCCACCGGGTGTTTTTGTGCCACGGAACCTGTGCATGTGCTCTTCTCGAGGCCTAGAGTCTCTCTCCCTCTGGTCAACTCCTATTTCAATCCCTCACAGACCCAACTCTAACGCCATCGTCCTCGGAAAGCGGGGATTCCTCCTTCCCGTCTCTGCCTCCTTAGCTCGCCTGCGCGCCCTCAGTGTCCGCAGACAGCCGGGGACTGAGGGCCTCCAGGTCCGGCTGGGCGCTCCGCCAGGCCCGCGGTGGCGGGGGGAGCGTTGCCGGCTCTCGGACTCGGCCCGGGCGCGGCGGGGTTAAGAGACCCGGGCCTTGAAGGCCCCGCCTCCGGAACGGGCCACTGCGTGGGGGAAGCCGTCCTGAAGGCTCCGACCTCGCTCCGGCTTATGACCCTCGCAGCCGCAGGAGCCCCTACTTGGGTGAACATTTCGGACGGGCCCCGGCGGTGCAGACCCCGAAGCGGCCTCCCCCAGCGTCGGCCTTCGGCCCTTCCAGCCAGAGCGCTCTTGGGACAAGCCGGGGATTCCCCGCCGCCGCCCGCCCCCTGGCGTCACGGAGTCCCCGCGACATCCCGCCGCGGCCCGGCGCCGTCCCGGGCGGGAGGAGCACGCTGCGAGGCGGGAGAACGCGGCCATGGCTGGGCCCCGGGGCCCCGGTGCCCCCGCAGCCCGCTGGAAACGCCACATCGTGCGGCAGTTACGGCTTCGGGACCGCACGCAAAAGGCGCTCTTCCTGGAGCTGGTGCCGGCCTGTGAGTGCGCCCCGGGGCTGAGAGGATGGCCGCTGAGGGGACGCGGCTCCGGGCGCGGGGAGAGGGTTTGGCTGGTTCCTCCGCCGGTGACCCGAGTGCGCCTTGCCTTATGGCTTGAGCCTGTGCGTTACGCCCACTCTGACTGCCAGGACTCCGCCCCTTGCCATCCAGGCTCTTCTTAGAACCTGGACGAACCACTCCTCGCCCCCCTGCCCTCGTCCCTCAGGACTGGGCCCTGCTTCCCACGAGCTGGGCTTCCTAGGCGCAAGTGCGTCCCCAGGTGTTGGTCTTGCAGAGTCTCTTGTGCCTCCCCTCCCGGGCGGTCACCGGGGTAGGGGTTTGATCAGTGCACTTGGTCTGGGTAGCGCAGTGAAAGAACGCGGGACTTGTCCAGAGCCGCCACTTATTGGCCCATCCGGAGAGGGGTGACACTCAGAACCTCTAAGGAGGAGGCTGTGCATCTCAGGCTCTGCCGCCCACAGGCGACGCTGGCGCAGGCTTATGGAGCACCTCCCCATCAGCCTACCCAGCCTGAGGGGACACCAGGGGGCCCCCGAGCCGCGGGCGGATGCTGGCTGAGCCCAGGCAAGTCGGACTCTCTCAGAATTGTCTCTGGGCAGCTGGTCAGGATGGGGTGTGGAAGTTCAAGACGGGTTGAACAGGTATGCCAGTGTGTCGCGCCTCTGGTCACCTGAGACTGTATGTCTGGGGTTGGAAGTCTAACCACAATCCCAGCGGCTCTCTCGCTGGGGCTAAACTTGGCCAACCCCCAACAGCCGAATCTGCTCTTATCCAGGAAAATTTCTCTGCAAGCTTCCAGGCTGCTGCCTGTACCTTCAGGGTTGCGAGGCCAGCCCCCACCTCCAGCAGCCACGTTTTTCCACTGCTCAGATGGACAGTGGAACCATCCAGTTTGAGGGAGGGGTCACCCCCACCCCCCAACTCTCAAGGAGCTGTGAGTCTGAGGGACTGAAGAGAACTGGAGGGCTGAAATCAGACCGAAGGGACAGTCTTGAGGTCTTGGGCAGGTCACATCCTTAAGCCTCAGTCTTCTTACCTCTTAATTGGGTATGGAGACCTTTAGGTTTGTTGGGGGGTCCAGTGCCCTGGGGGCTGAGGTGGGGTTTGTGTGAGAACGAGGCCAGGCCCCAGAGCCTCAGTCAAGGTGACAGGGCACTGGGTGTGGGAAGGAAGTTGAGGAGGGAGCTAGGACTGGGCTTACCACCCCACCCTCCCCTGGAACTGGTGAGAAAAGAGGAAGTGACTGTGGATGGGGGAGGAGGTGTGTTCCAGGGTCAAACCTCCAGAAGGTCTGCTGGATAATTGCCCAAGGACTTTCTATTCCGGCCTAGGGGTACCTTACACCAGCCCTGGGGAAGTTGGGATGATTTTTAAGTGCAGAGAGCTAGAGCCCAGGAGGGGAAGTGACTTGCCAAAGGCCATTGACAGGTGGAGCTCTGTTTCATCACTTTCTGGGACTAAGCCTTGCTCTGAGGCAGGAATGAATCAACCCCATGCCCTTTCCTTCCCTCAGGACCCTCAGTGGGCAGTACCCCGAAGTGATCATCCTTCTGTCCCTGGGAGAGCAGGTCCTGTTCTGGGTGGGCCTGGGGACCTGTGCTATGAGGACACTGCTAGGGCTGAAGGTCCTGTAGGGCTGAACAGATGCCCCTCAGGCACAGGGCAGAGGCCAGCCTGACAGAAGCTTCCCCATCGCTAGCATCTCTGGGCTCCTGCAGCCCTCCCAGCCTGAGGGAACTTGCATGCCAGGAGGCTGCTAGGTATCTGTCTCTGCCCCAGGCTCATCCTCTTGCAACCCCCAGATAACCATCTCTTAGAGAAGGCTGAGCTGCTGGACAAGTTCTCAAAGAAGCTGCAGCCGGAGCCAAACAGTGTCACTCCCGCCACCCACCAGGGCCCCTGGTGAGTGTGTGTATGTGTTCCTGGTCACAAAGGGCTGCCTGTGCTGTGGCCCTGCCCCTGCTGCCTGTGCTGGGTTCATTCTCTCTCTAGTGCCTCATCAGCCCCTGGCTGCTGCCCAGGGGTGGTGGGGGTCGGGGAGAGGCAGGCCCTTGGCCTTCTCACAGGCCAGCTGCTTAGAATCTCTTTCCCCTCCACCTTTCTTTGTCCATCTCTTTGCATTTGTCCCATCCCTTCCCCTCCCACCCCATACTCTTTTCCCCTTCTCAGTCTTTTTCCATTTCCCTGTTCCTTACCTGATGCCTAAAGAACGGGTCTTGCTACCTATTCCAAAGAGGGAGTAAAGATGAGAACCAGGAATGGGTTGGGGCTCAGAGCTGGGAGGTGCTTCTTGAGAAAGGTCCTTGGCCAAGGCCTAGGGGAATCTTGGAGCAGAGGAGTCATGGACAGCTCATTTCTAGACTTGCCTTTTCCTTTACTAGCTTGGTGGCTTCCATCTTCCCAGGCAGAAGTTAATGGCTCTTGTTTTAGGCTTTTCATGTAGCATCCCTTGGGTGCCTTTGGGCACTTGGGTGAATAGGGGGACACTGAGCACCACTCTGATTGGTTGGCAGGGAGGAGTCAGGGCCTGACTCAGACCAAGTCCAATCACTGGCCACTCTGAAGGTGAAGTGGCAGGAGGAGGAGGAGGGGCTCCGGCTGGTCTGTGGTGAGGTAAGTTGGGTAGGGGTTTGAAAATGGGGTGGAGAGATGTGGTCGAAGGGAGTCAGCCAGTGAGGGACACTCCTGCGTTTGCTGCATTCTCTAAGTGCAGTGCTGCAAGCATTGAGTGATCCCCAGTGTGTGCCAGGCCCTGACCGGAAGCTAGGCAGGGGTCAGAGTGCCCCAGGCAGCACAGGATGAAGTGGGCTCCAACAGCAGCTGGAGGGAGTTAGGTGTGCAGGGCCCTGGCAGCCCGTTTTCCCTTCCACATGGTTTAGCCTGCTCTGCTCACTTCTGCATGGCTCACCCCTTGCCCAGCCATTCCCAAGGCCTAGCTCCAGCTGATGTTCAATGTACATTTGCAGACTACAGGAGTAAGGTTCATTTAGCCCATTGGCAGGGTGCAGACCCTCCACCTGATGCTACCACCTTCCCTGCCCCCTTGCAACTGTGTCTCTTGGCTTCTCTTTCACCATGCTCTCTTGGTTTCCCTTTCATTTCTGTGGCTGTTGGCTCTGAACTTCCTTTGCTGGCTCCTCTCCCTCCTCCCTATTCTCCTCCCTTCAAATATGAGTGTTTGTGGGGCTCACTGACTCCCATGGCCTCAGGGATTTTCTCCTTGTCTGTCGACTCTCAGATCTGTCTCTAGCCCAGCCTTCTTTTCTGACCTTCCCACTCTCTTGCCCAGCTGCTTTTTGGACATCACATCTAAAATCAGACTCACCATCTCCCCCATAATAGGGCCCACACCATTTCGAGAGTTGACTCACTGCTAAGCATTGCCTCAGTTAACCCTTCACAACTTTATGGTTGCAGAGGAGGAAACTGAGGCTTGGAGAGGTAGAGCCAGGATTTGAGCCCCTCCCACACAAATCACCTTCTGTGCTCTCCATTCTCTCAACAACTGTTGACCATTGCTATATCAAAGGAACAGGAAATGCAGCAGTAAACAAGACCTGACCCCATGGGGCTTCCAGTCCTCTGAAGGAGACTGTGATAGCCCAGTAAATACACATCCAATCACAGCATGGCAAGTCACCTGCCCAACAGAAGTGTGGGCATAGGTATGGATTCACTTGAGAACCTCTCCCTAGAGCTGCTGTTGTAGGTCCAATTTGATATTTGTTTGAGAGGATTCTCAAAACATCTGAGCCCCCCCTGCCCTGCCTTCTGGGCTGTGAGCTCCCCAAGCCCTGAGATGTCTTGGTTTGCCTTCAAGGCAAACCTACATCCTGAGGGCCTGTGTCCACAGTCCATACTAATGACTATTTGTAGACTAAGCAATGAATGAGATAGGCTGTTCCTGTGACTGCTCCCAGTGGTTCTCTTACATGCTGGAAACCCAGGGTCACCTCTGACTCCTAGCCCTCCATCCTGAGCTGGTCACAAGCTCATGTTGACTCTACCTCCAAATCCATCAATGTCCCTCTGTTTCATGTACCATATCTGACCTGGTACAAGTAACCTTCATCCTACCCTGAAACACTTCTTCAGCACTCCCAGTCCCTTCTCCATACAGCTTTCAGAGTGACATTTTTTTTTTTTTTTTTTTCTTGAGACGGAGTTTCGCTCTTGTTACCCAGGCTGGAGTGCAATGGCGCGATCTCGGTTCACCGCAACCTCCGCCTCCTGGGTTCAGGCAATTCTCCTGCCTCAGCCTCCTGAGTAGCTGGGATTACAGGCACGCGCCACCATGCCCAGCTAATTTTTTGTATTTTTAGTAGAGACGGGGTTTCACCATGTTGACCAGGATGGTCTCGATCTCTTGACCTCGTGATCCACCCGCCTCGGCCTCCCAAAGTCCTGGGATTACAGGCTTGAGCCACCGCGCCCGGCCCTCAGAGTGACATATTTTAATTAAAAAAATGATCTCCGTTAAAGACAAACAATACACAAAACATGCTTATAAACAACTCAAAGAGAATAGAAGCCTATAGAGTAAAGATTAAAAGCCTGTCTTACCACCTCTCCCCATGGTCAGTGTGCCGTAGATCTTCCAAAGCTCCTAGCCTGGCTCCCCTGTCGAGGTCTCCAGCCTATTGTTGCTTCTCCTGCCACTCTCGTCTCTGAGCTCACGGCTCCCTTTGCCTGAGATACTTTCCTGCACCCCAGCACTCCTTCCCTGGACATATACCAGCCAGTACCTATTGGATGAGCCAGTGGATGGGGGCAGTGGGAAAGCTTTTTCTTTCCTTTTAAAAAATTTTCTTTAGTACTTCCACACATCACAAGCATTTATTATTATTATGACTTTAACTTTATTTATTTATTTTTGAGATGGAATCTTGCTCTGTTGCCCAGGCTGGAGTGCCAGTGGCGTGATCTCAGCTTACTGCAACCTCCACCTTCTGGGTTCAAGTGATTCTCCTGCCTCAACATCACAGAGTAGGTGAGGATTACAGGTGTGCGCTACCACGCCTGGCTAATTTTTGTATTTTTAGTAGAGATGGGGTTTCACCATGTTGGTTAGGCTCCTCTTGAACTCCTGACGTCGTGATCCGCCCACCTAGGCCTCCCAAAGTGCTGGGATTACAGGCGTGAGCCACTGCACCCTGCCAACTTTTTATTTTAAAATAATTATAGATTCACAGGAAGTTGCAAGGATAGTCCAGAGTTCCTGTGTCTCTCTGGACTATCTGTGTCCCCCAGCGTCTCCCACTGGCTACATCTTACATAACTATAGAACCCACAACCAGGAAACTGGGATTGGTATAAAGTGTGTATATGTCCTTTTTCATTTTGTCACATGTAGATTTGTGTAACCGTCAAGATATGGCACTATTTCACCACTACAAAGATCTCTTTCTTGCTACCCTTTTTTAGTCACATTCACCCCTCTCTCCTCCAGTAACCCCTGGCAACTACTAATCTGTTTTCCACCTCTACTACTTGAATTTTGAAAGGTATACAGGGAGCCGTGGTGGCTCAGTTCTGTTGTCCTGGAGCATGAGGAGGCTAGGCATTTGAGGCCAGCCTGGGCAACACAGAAACCTCTCATCCATTAAAAAAAAAACGGGCTGGGTGCAGTAGCTCACGCCGGTAATCCCAGCACTTTGGGAGGCTGAGGTGGGTGGATCATAAGGTCAGGAGTTCAAGACCAGCCTGGCCAACATAGTGAAACCCCATCTCTACTAAAAATACAAAAAATTAGCCAGGCGTGGTGGCGTGTGCCTGTAATCCCAGCTACTCAGGATGCTGAGGCAGGAGAATCACATGAACCCGGGAGGCGGAGGTCGCAGTGAGTTGATATCAAACTATTGCACTCCAGCAACAGTATGAGACTCTGTCTCAAAAAAAAAAAAAAAAAAGGTATACAATAAACTATTGAATAGTGTAATACAACATAAGTGAAAGCAAGTTACAGGTGAAAAAGTGGAGGTGTTTATCAGATTGCTCAGTGGTAAAAAGAATTATGTTATAAATGGGGCCAACTATGAATAAAGGTGCCCCACCCCACATGTGCAGGTTCCCTCTCCGCAGATTCACTCACATAGGGTGTCATGTCAGTGCAGGTGGCAGCACCAACCTTGGTCCTCAGTCTGTCCTCACTAGGCCCACATGAGAACACAGGAAGATTAGAAACAAGAGCCCCCAGGCTTGGTCTGGACCAGAGGCGCCTCTGACCGTCTTGTTCTCTTGCCACCCTGGTCGGAGCTGCCTTGCCTGGGGTTTGTCTCTTCCATCGACCCTGCTTGGCGCTGGGCTGAAGGCACGTCGAGTGAGGCAGGGGTGCAGATGAAATGGCCCTGGGCTGCCAGGCTGCTCCCGTATTGAATCAGGAGCCTGGCTCCCCCAGTTCATGCCTGATCTTAGCGTTGTTTGCCTCTGCGCAGGGCTTCTCACTGCTGAGACCTGTGCCTGGGCAGGCCTGGGTTGGACGAAGCCAGGAAGCCAACTGGGAGGAGTGGGGAACAGAACTCACATCGCCTGACCAGTGCTTTGCATGGAGGCTGATGCAGTTAGGTGGCTTGGGCTCAAATCTCTTAGCTACCTGACTTTGGGCAAGACACTTAAACCTCTCTGTCGTTGTCCTAGTCTGTGAAGTGAGTGGCAGTGCCAGCCTCCTGGTGTGGTGAGGAGGGAAGAAGTGTGTAGCGTGCTGGGAGCATCATGGCGCCCGAGCGCCGGATGGGCATTTGCCAGCCGCCGCGCTGGGAGTCCTCGCAGTGATTCTGCATGGCGCTGGGAGCGGGGCGCTGGCTTCCCACTCTTCAGGCGAGGCAGTGGACGGGGTTGCTCTTGCCAGAGAGATTCCTAGTAGGGTAGCAGAGAAACGCAGCGGCACGGCGAGGATTGAGACCCAGGGCTGAATCCAGAGCACGAGGCCCTTCCACTGCTCCACAAACAGCAGCGCATCCCTGTGCAAGGTCCCAAACCTGTGGGGCTCAGCTTTCTTTTCAGGACGGGGGCAGGCAGGGGAGCAGCCGACCGTCCCTTAGCGCCTTTGGCCCGGGAGGGACTGGAGGCCTGGAGAGGCCTCAGCGCCGCGGTGCCCACCTGTCCGCCCCCAGATGGCCTACCAGGTGGTGGAGAAGAGCGCGGCCCTGGGCGTCCTGGAGTCGGAGCTGCAGGAGCGGCGAAACAGGTGAGACCCGGGCGCGGGCAAGAGCGAGAGGACCGCGTCCACCTCAGGGAGGCCCAGGGCCATGTCGAAGGCAGGGGAATGGCACCGGCCAAGAGCTTTCCCCATGTCCTCCCGAACGCCCCCTGAGCTCATTGGTTGGTGCCAGAGAACCGAACGGCAGGGCTCTGAGGGCGAAGGCTTGGGGGAGACCTGGCTTAGCCACCCGGCTGGCCCCGTGGCAGGGGCAGGTCTGTCTTGGCTCCAAGGCAGGTTCCCACTGGGCAGTGACGGGGGAGTCTAGGGACCCGCCATCAGCTCTCTCCATCCTTCAGGCTGGCGGCCCTGGAGGCCCGCGTGGTGCAGCTGCGAGAGGCGCGGGCACAGCAGGCCCAGCAGGTGGAGGAGCAGCGGGCGCAGAACGCCGCGCAGCGGGAAGCCTACGGGGCGCTTCGCGCGCAAGCCGGACTCCAGGAGGCGGCACTGCGCAGGCTCCAGGAGGACGCGCGCGACCTGCTGGAAAGGCTTGTGCAGCGCAAGGCCAGCGCCGCCGCTGAGCGCAACTTGCGCAACGAGCGCCGGGAGCGGTGAGGAAGCGGCCCCGCCCCTTCTGGGGGACGGCCCCGCCCCTGCAGAGAGGAGTCGGGATTCCCAGTTGTCTGGAAGGGAGGAGGGTCGCAGCCGCCTCCTGGGGAAGGGACCGGGTCGCGCCCCGCCTCCGTGCGAGGCGCCGCGCGAGCTCTCAGGACGCTTTTCACTCAACCAGGGCCAAGCAGGCGCGGGTGTCCCAGGAGCTGAAGAAGGCTGCCAAGCGGACCGTGAGCATCAGCGAGTAAGAGTGGGGATGGGCCAGTCCGACCCTTGGGTTCTGCCTCCCATCCCCGCCTGCCAGCGGCGACCCAGGCCGCCGACTGTACTGTGCACAGCCCCGTCCCGCGACCCTCAAGTTGTCAGGACCCGCGGGGCACCTGCAGAGAACCGTGTGGTCTTAGGAGCTTGCATGCGTGCCCACTGCACGTGTGCCCACACAGAACTCTCTTCACTGGGAATTCCTGTTTTCACTGTGTCCTGTGCTGGGGAAAGGAGCTGCTGGCTTGGTCCCTTGGCCTTTCTGAGCTTCATTACCTCTCTCAGGAGCCCGGACGCCCTAGGCGATGTGATGAGGGAGAGAACCGAGACTCTGGCCCTGGCCCCTGAGCCAGAGCCCCTGGAGAGTAAGGCTTGTGAGAAGTGGAAGAGGCCCTTCAGGTGAGGACCCAGGTGACAGTCCCAGAGCCTAAGCTGAGCCCCAGCCCAGAGGCTGCCAGGGTCTTTCTGTTGGACCTTGGAGTCAGCGCTTGGGTTGGGAGGGGGTTTGAGAAGACGTCGGAAAGCTCAGACCTTCCAGGACTAGTCTGACCTCCATTGTCTGGAACCACTTGGGGTCAGTTCTATCTCACCCCAACCCCTACCCTTAACCCTTTTCCTCCTTCCTGGAATCGGAGCTCTGGGAGTGGGATGTCATGCTTGTGAATAGCTATCACCAGGAGGGAACCTGTGGGCAAAGCCTAGAGCCCAGCCATGCCAGGTGTGTGTGTGCAGCCATAGGTGTGCAAGCATGTGCATCTGCAGGGACAGGAGGCACAGGTGTGCCTGAGTGAGCTTGACTGAGTCCATCTGTGTGTGTGAATATATAAGCATGTGTAGATGTGTGCTCACACTGGTGGGACTGGATTGGGCATCAGTCCTTGGGTGCCCCTCTGCAGAGTCTCCCCCATCTTTCTTGATTTGCCTGTCATTGAGGCTGCCCTCTCTGGGCCCCATTCCCCAGCCTAATGCCTCTTCTCAGTCTTTCCTTGCAGGTCCCTGGTATCCAGGCCTTGGGGCAGTGAAGAAACCATGGGGAGGGGCATGAGATGCCAGTTTCCAAAGTCCTTGGCATGCATTCTGGGCCAAGTTATTTGCAGGACACACCCTCTCCTGGGCATTGCTGAGGTCACCCAGCAAGCTTAGGCTTCCCCCACTCCTATCCCCAGCCTGGGGAGATCTTCAGCACCTCTTCTCCCTGTAGGCCCCAGCTCAGCTTCTCAGGAACTTTTGTTGGTGGATATTTGTAGGGTGAGGCAGTTCTCCCCATCATGGTGGAGACCTTGGGAGATTTTCATTACCAAATCCATTGCTGCTGTGACCTTCTTGGGACTGGTCTGGGCCACTCTACTCTTCTGGTCTTAGAGAAGTCAAGTTCTTGTCCCGGACTTGAGAGGTTACGAGCCTCTAAGTCTCCGGCAGTTTGAAGATGACAGACAGCCATTTGTACACACACCAGCCAGTCCCTTAGCACGTCTCTCTCGGTTTTGTCCCAGGTCTGCCTCAGCCACCTCTCTGACGCTGTCCCGCTGTGTGGATGTGGTGAAGGGTCTTCTGGAGTAAGTGTGTGTGTGTGCCTGTGTGTGCACCCCCGTGTGTGTTGGGCTCCCCAGCCCAGGCTTGGTCTGTGTCTGTGCCTCAGCCTGTCTGTCCCTGTGGTGCACAGCTGTCTGCCTGTGAGTCTGTTGGGTCCTGGAGCCAGGAGCCAGGTGAATGGCCTCAGCCCCAAGCCCCTGCTCAGCTGTCTTCCAGGTTCTGTCCTCACAAGGTTCTGTCTTCATCCAGGGTCCTCACAGGGGACCAAGAGCTCCAGCCTGAGGCAGGACAGGAACTCCCACTCAATTGGGAAACATGCTCAGAAATGTCAGGGACTCATTCAGAGTCACAGAGCCAAGCAGTGGCAAGACTGGGATTGAAACCTTAGCCCTGAGGTTTCTCTGCACCTACCAACCCTACCCTGCTCCTGCCTCTGTATGCTCCCACCCCTTTCCACGCCAACCCCTGGGGTTGAGGCAGGGTTTGGGAATGCACTGGCTGCTCCTTGGGGCTGTGTTCTGCCTCCTGCCCTGTCTGCTTCCCATGGTTGATGCCTCAGGGGAGCTGGAGGTTCCCACCTGAGAAGGCCTTGCTAAATGCCCTCCTGACCCCAACCCACCTTACCCCCAGTTTTAAGAAGAGGAGAGGTCACTCAATTGGGGGAGCCCCTGAGCAACGATACCAGAGCATCCCTCTGTGTGTGGCCGCCCGACTTCCTATCCAGGCTCAGGATGTACTGGTAAGGGAGGAGCGGGGCCACATGGGTGGGGCAGTGGTGATGGAGTACAGCCATGGGGACGGTCCTGACATGGGGGGTGGTCCCAGGAGGCCAGGGAAGCAAGGCTGGGCTCCGCAGCAGGAGCAGGAGGCTGCCTCCCACAGCCTGTGGTGGAAGCCACTCAAGCATGTTATGATGTGAGCTTGGGAGGGACAGAGAGAAGGCTGGGAGGCCAGGAGGTCAGATGGGGAGTAGGGCAGCATAGCACGGAGGCTGCTGCAGGGATCCAGGCAAAGGTGAGAACACCTGGTAGGACTAGGTTTGAAATTCAAAAGTGTGGACACAGAGACCGGGGATGCAGTATCACATCTGCAGTGGGCTGTGTCTACACAGGTACCCATGAGAGGGGGCCTGTGAGCACTCACAGAGGCATGCGCAGGGAGGGCTGGGGTACCAATCTCCCTTTTCCCCACAGGACGCTCACCTCTCTGAGGTCAATGCTGTTCGTTTTGGCCCCAACAGCAGCCTCCTGGCCACTGGAGGGGCTGACCGCCTGATCCACCTCTGGAATGTTGTTGGAAGTAAGGAGCCCTCCCCTGCAGGCCAACCCTGTGCTTCTCTCCAGACCCCCTCCTCAGCTGACTCCTTGGTGGGCAGAGGTCCTGGATCTCTTTGTTTCCCCATCTAAAACATTCTGTGGGCAGTGACTAGACAATGGCTTGACAAGAGTGAGACTCTGGATTCGCTGCTCTGAAGATGAGTGGAGCCTCCCAGCTCCTAGGGTCCAGATTTGCAGAATAGGGAGGGCTCAGTTCAGATAGTCCCTGTTGGGGGTTGGTGGGGGTCCCCTATCATGAGGTCCTACAGGGACAGGCCCTTGAGGAGCTGGCCCCTGAGTCCCCCAGGTGACCCTCTTCTAGCATCACTTGAACTCTCAGAACTCAGCTAAGAGACAAGCATGAACTGTCTGCCTTGTCCCAAGCTCTGTGCGCTATAGTGGGTTGTATTCTGGGGAGTCAGCGCCCGCTCCTGGGGGCCTCCTAGAAAAAGGAAGTCTCTGGCTAGCCTGACCCTGGCTTGCTGCATGACCTACAGAAGTCCCTTCTCCCTGGTCCTCTCTAGCCTGGTCTGTGAAATGACTAGCTATCCCCTGGGACCCAGTGCCAGCAGTCAGGGGAGGTGTAGTCTCCAGCCCAGGCTCCCAGACAGACACAGCGATTCTGTCTTCTAACCTGGGGTGGGGAGGGGGAACTTCCCACTCTCAGTTCCAATCCCTCCATTTTGTGAGGTTAGGACCTCATTTGAACTGTCTCTTCTTCTGGTCCCCCCAGGTCGCCTGGAGGCCAACCAGACCCTGGAGGGAGCTGGTGGCAGCATCACCAGTGTGGACTTTGACCCCTCGGTGAGGAGCTTTGCCTCAGTGGCATGGGATTGCACCCCCTCCGATCTCCACACTGGGCAGGTGGGGGCTCTGGGCCTTGAGGGCACACCATGGATACCCTAGAATCAGCCCTTGGGCTCTTACACAGATCCTCCTCCCTAGGCCAGAGGCTCCTCTGCCTGCCATGGTGACCTGGGCCATGGGAAGCCCTGGGACAGTCCCTAGCCTCATTCTCTGGCCTGAAGGATGTTGCCTCCGGCTTAGCACCTCTCACTTCCTCTCCTATTTCTCCAGGGCTACCAGGTTTTAGCAGCAACTTACAACCAGGCTGCCCAGCTCTGGAAGGTGGGGGAGGCACAGTCCAAGGTGAGGCCTGACTGGGGAGGGTGCCTTGGGGGTCAGGGGTCATACCTTAGCACTAGAGGGCCTGTTATGGGGTCTTGGCCACACTCTTGATATGCATCTGGGGCTGGAGTACAGGAGACACTGTCTGGACACAAGGATAAGGTGACAGCTGCCAAATTCAAGCTAACGAGGCACCAGGCAGTGACTGGGAGCCGTGACCGGACAGTGAAGGAGTGGGACCTCGGCCGCGCCTACTGTGAGCCCCAGCCCCACCTCCCCTCCCTATCAGCCAGAAGCCCCAGGCCAGGGCACAAAGGACCTCACCTGCTCTCTGGGAGTGGCTCTGAGATTCATAGGCATTTGGGGATAAAACCTCTCAAGGCCCTTCTCTATCTCCCAATGGTGTTTTCTGTGCGGTTTCTTGGTGACCTTAGGCTGTGGGTAGGAAAAAGATGTGGGTGAGCCCTGGGGTGGGAAGCAGAAGACCTGGGTTCTAGTTTTGGGAGGACACTGTTCTGGGCCTCAGCTTCTCCATCTGTCCTGTGGGCTGGCTCCTGACAACCTTCCTCTGAGGCCCTGGGGTCTGCTGCTTGGTCTCCAGGCTCCAGGACCATCAATGTCCTTTCCTACTGTAACGACGTGGTGTGTGGGGACCATATCATCATTAGTGGCCACAATGACCAGAAGATCCGGTTCTGGGACAGCAGGTGACAGGTGCAGGGTGGGGGAGGACTGGGGGAGGCCTGGGGACAGGGCTCCCAAGTTCTTGTTCCCTTCTCTGGTCATGGCAGGAATCTTGGTGGCACTATGGGCAGGCAAGGCTGTGGGGCTGGCACTGCCAGCTGGTGCCTCTCAGCTGGGCTCAGCTGCCCCAGGAGGCTGTGCCACTGTCTTCATGACTCTTGGTCCAATGCTGGACTCCGCCTGGATCTTGCAACGAAGATGGAGATGCACCTTTTTCCATTTAGTTACCACTTTTATATCAAGAAGAAAAAAATTCTTTTAGTTGTTTTTTAAACCAAAGACCCTAACTTTGGGCTTGAATTGTTTGCAAAAGCAAAGATAGAGGCCGGGTGCAGTGGCTCATGCCTGTAATCCCAGCACTTTGGGAGGCCGAGGCTTGTGGATCACCTGAGGTCAGGTGTTCGAGACCAGCCTGGCCAACATGGTGAAACCGCGTCTCTACTAAAAATAGTAGCCAGGCGTGGTGGCACATGCGTGTAATCCCAGCTACTTGTGAGGCTGAGGCAGGAGAATCACTTGAACCCAGGAGGCAGAGGTTACAATATAGTGACCCAAGATTGCACCACTGCACTCCAGCTTGGGCAACAGAGCGAGGCTCTGTCTCAGAAAAAAAATAAAAATAAAAATAAAAAGCAAAGCTAGAGTCAATGCTAGGCCTGCCTCAAGCCTTTACGCACGGATCTGCAGCTATTATTGTTTGCAACTCTTCTTTCTCTCTCGTATTTTTTTTAAAGACAGACTTCATTGCTCAGAAGAGATGGTGCTTATTTTAGTGACCAAGGGTTTCAAGGGCTCCAGCTTTCAAAGTCTGCCTAAGTTCCTCAATGGAGGCAGCTGGCTGCAGTGAGGAGAAGGAAAATGAGTCCCTGGCAGCCTCTACCCCAGTGATCCGAGGCCCTGGGGTTTCTCTGGACATGGTTAGCTGGGAAGGCTGCTGCGCCTGGCCCCTTCCTGTCAGGAATGGCCTGGCTAGGCTGTTCCTCATCCCTGTCTCTGTCCTTGTTCTTCAGGGGGCCCCACTGCACCCAGGTCATCCCTGTGCAGGGCCGGGTCACCTCCTTGAGCCTCAGCCATGACCAGCTACACCTGCTCAGCTGTTCCCGAGACGACACACTCAAGGTCATCGACCTGCGTGTCAGCAACATCCGCCAGGTGTTCAGGTACCAGCCTTGTGCTTGCTGACCCTGTGGCCTTTGCTTGGACAGCTAAGCCTCTCTTCTCCTCTAATAGGCCCTCTTGGGCCCCTCCCTGGGGGTCCATCTAGACCAGGTCCTACTGAGGTACCAAATCCTTTGTGAGAGGGGACGCTCTGGAAGCCCCCTGCAGAGGCCAGAGACCAGTGGTTACCTCTGTTCTGACCCCAGCCCTGTCTGTCCTCAGGGCCGATGGCTTCAAGTGTGGCTCTGACTGGACCAAAGCTGTGTTCAGGTATGTTTGGGAGAGCATATGCCTATGCCCAAGTGTACCCTGCTGGACCGTGTGTGTGCCCTCCCCTCTGACCCTCTTTTTTTGCTCTGCTGTGGCCACTATAGCCCGGACAGAAGCTATGCACTGGCAGGCTCCTGCGATGGGGCCCTTTACATCTGGGATGTGGACACTGGGAAACTGGAGAGCAGACTTCAGGGACCCCATTGGTGAGCATGGCCTCCACCCGGCCACCTGCCTGGCCCCAGTCCTGCCAGGCCGATTCCAGGTTCTGACATACTCGGGACCTGGGAGTCCCCAGCCCTTGTCCCTCCACCTTCCAGCCGACCAGAGCCCTTTGCAGTTCACAAGGTACTTTCCACATGCACTGGGTCTGTCCTCTCCACAGCCCTGTGAGCTCACTTTACAGATCTGGAAAAAGGCTCAAGAGAGGGCCTCAAACTGCTCATGTCCAGCAGTAGGGGCACAGCCAGGTTGCAGGTGCAGTTCCTGAAGCCCCCCTGAAGCCTGCCCCTCCCTTTCCCCAGCACTGCTGTCAACGCCGTGGCCTGGTGCTACTCCGGGAGCCACGTGGTGAGCGTGGACCAGGGCAGGAAGATTGTGCTCTGGCACTAGGGCCACGACTTCCCTGCCTGAGCTGGAGCTCTTGCCTGAAGCCTGAAGCTTCCCTCGGCACACAGGGTTCCTGAGCCAGTGGGGCTGGGGTTGGGACTGGGGATGGCCTTGGGATTTAATGGGGAAGAAGGCCTGGCAGGACCTAGCCTGTTTGCTTAAAAATGAAGTATGCATTGGGGTATTACGGTAGTTTTTCTTTGTATTTTTATCTCTATCTCCTCACTTTTTCTCCCAAAGTAGAAAAAATTTTATAGCTAAACTGCATCTGCCTGCCTCTTTGCAGCATTCATGGTACAAAGACCTTTGGGCTAGTGGACTCTGGAAGATCCAGGCTTGGCCCCCTTCCTCTTTCCATAAAGAGCTGGGGCAGCTAGCCCAGCCTCTGCCTGGGGAGACACGTGCTGCTGAAGTCTAACCACGGAAACAGTAGGAAGAAAGGCCCAGAGGCGGCAAAGAGCCATGGATGTGACTCTTGGTTCGGCCTGGTCCTGAAGCCAAAGCAACATGTTGGGCCTACCTGCTTCAGGGACTCAGGATAGACCGAAGCTGAGGAGGGGCTTTGAGAGCTCTGAGGAGGGAGCAGGGAGGCAGCCCAGAGGGGTCCTGGGGGGAAGATCCTAAAAACCCAGGTACTGGTATCCAAGTCCTTGGTACACAGGGCTTCCCTTAGACTGGATCTCCGTTCTTCCTCCAGACATAGAGTCCAGGGTGGGGCAGAGCAGGGTCTCTGTGTGTCTGTGCCTGGGGGAGGGCATCTGTGAGCCAGACCTGGGCCTGGGGCTTTGCTTACAAGGCAGAGCCCACACGCAGAGTTGGGGCAAACCAACTTTCTTCACCAACCTAGGGCTGGCCACAGGCCTGTGGAGACAGTGTTGGTTAAATAGCAACACCTATACTCCGCTGACTCCCTACTCCTGGCCCAGCTGCCTCCTGGCCATCATCTCCCATGCAAGTGACCTGTTCCTCCTGCACCCTATCCCTGGGACCTTGTGCTACTAGATCTAGCACCCCTCCATCCCTCCTGCCACTGTGGGCCACCTTCTAGACCTGCAGCCTTCCCATCCAACCCTTTCCTTTACTATGGCCAGAGCGACTTTTTGTTGCTTTTGAGACACAAAAAAGCTCACTGCAGCCTCAAACTCTTACAGCCCCAAACCCCTGGGTTTAAGCAGTCCTCCCACCTGATCCTCCCAAAGGGCTGGGGTTACAGGTGCACACCACCACGCTAGGCTCAAGAGTGACATTCTAGGGTGTTGCAATCACAAGTCCAATCCTTTGGAGTTCCCCTGCCGCCTTCAGAGACCACCCCCAACCCCAACGTGAAACTTGGAGCCCTTTGGATGTGACTCTGCTGGCTTCTCAGCTGCATATTCACTTCCTTGCTATTCACTCATTCATTACTCATTTAGAGATGAGGTCTCACCATGTTGCCTAGGCTGGTCTCACCCCTGTGCTCAAGTAATCCTCCTGCCTTAGCTTCCTGAGTAGCTGGGCCTACAGGTGCTTGCCACCATGCCTATTTCCTTGCTATTGTGAGTGCATCTCAGACATACTTTTCTGTCTTCCCAGAATGTTCTCCTTCCCTCTCAGCCCCAAATTCAAATTTTTCTTTCAGGATCCCCCTTCCCTCGCCTGCCAGGCTGGGTAAAGGCCGCCTCTGTCCCTGAGCTCCTTTTGTGTCTGCTTCCCTCCATTTTAAGACAAGAAACTCTTGGGAGAGGCCAGGATGGGAACAGATACCCTGGGATCAGGCCTGGCACAGAGAACGCCTCAGGGAATGTTTATTAAGTGGTTAAATTCTGTTATTCAGGCCAGACGCAGTGGCTGTTGCCTGTAATCACAGCACTTTGGGAGGCTGAGGAGGATGAATCACCTGAAGTCAAGAGTTCGAGACCAACCTGACCAACGCAGTGAAACCCTGTCTCTACTAAAAATACAAAATTAGCTGGCCATGGTGGTGCATGCCTGTAATCTCAGCTACTTGGGAGGCTGAGGCAGGAGAACTGCTGAAACCTGGGAGGAGGAGGTTGCAGTGAGCCGAGAATGTGTCATTGCACTCCAGGCTAGGCAACAAGACAGAAACTTCATAACAACAAAATTCTCATATTCAAGGACTCAGCCAATCTAACAGTCTAAGAAGTCTTGGGTTCCAACATTCTTTGACACTAGGACTTCTACCCTGCCCCAGCCCTCATGTTCTGGCTCCCAGCAGCCACCAGAGGTCACCAGCTGCCTAGTCTACTGTGGCCATTCCCGCCTCCAGGGACACACGGCTGGGGAGACAGACACTCCGGCAGCCACCGTGACTGAGCCCTTAGGAGGTGCCAGGCCCCACCCTGCACCCTTTCTGCAGTGTAATTTGTTTCTCGCAATCACATTGCCATGCAGATACCATGTTTCCCAGGTGAGAAAACAGCTCAGAGAGGTCACGCAGCTGGACCGTGGCTGCATTACACACACTCTTGGCAGGGCTGCCTGGCATGTCCCCTTCCTGCCACCTCGGGAGTTGAGGTGTGATGTAGCCTGTGTCTAACCTGACTCCCCTGCTGCATCTTCACCTTTTTCTGTTCTGGGTCCTGACCCAGATGGTTGGTGTCCTTTGGAGCAAGGGACATGCAGGGACACAGGACTGAAGGAACTTGAATCCTGGGAGGCACTTACCAGCTGTGCCATTGTGTTTTTCCCCCATTTCACAGGGTTGTAGTGGAGACTGTGCTTAGAGAGCCCAGAGGAAGTGCTCAGGAAATAGTCTTACTGATCTCTGGGACAGTGACCTCTTGGCTCCCGCAAAACCTTCCCTTCTACTTTATAGGCGCCAATCTTACCACACACACTGCCTCCGTGGGGGTGGAGTTGCCCCTCTCAGGGAACACATGTTCACCTTAATTTGCTTGGCGGTCCGCCTCCCAGTAGGAGGGGGTGCTTCCTGGAAGAACAAGTCTGGAAGGCCACACAGGCCAAGGAGTTCCTGGGAATGAGGTAGGCAGAAGGAAGAGGAGCTCACAAACTGAGCAGAGGAGTTCAGAGGGATATGTCAGTAGCAAGGCTGTTCCTCCCTCCAGCATCTTCAGTCCCATCCAGCAGAGGGGTGAAAATAGACGCTGACAGCCCCTCCGGCTCTCAGCAGTCAGTGCCCAGGTTTTCAGGACTCTGGTTGGGATGCCTGCCTGAATAGTGCCTAGCTCAAATCTGGAATGGCATGCACTCATGGGTATAAAAACTGAGGCCCAGAGATAGGGCAACTCCCTTGGGTCACACAGCAGAGCTGGGATAAGAACCCAGGCCTCTGATTCCCGCTTTTCTAAAAACTGGATTCAGGTTCTAAAGAGGGGCTGGCCGGACCTTGTGAAGGCCTAGTCCTAGGTTCTCCAGTTCTGTCTTCCTGGGAGATCTTGGGCAGGTCACAGTGACTTCCAGGCTCTCCCACCTGTGAAACTTCCTGCCCCAAGCCTCCCTAAAGGTGACATGGCTCTTCTGCCCAGCTGGTCTGTAGGCATGAGGACCATAGCCTCTGCCTGCCCTGCCCAATCTCAGGCCTTAGTGAGCCTGAGATCCCAGTGAGGGAGAAATGACAGATGCCCCTATCCTGTGCTCCTGCTACCCCTTGGTCATCTCTCAGTCCCTGACTTCAGTCTGCTATTCCCGAGTCTCTCCCACCAGATGCAAGCCTCTTAGTGACAAGGGACAGGGCTCCAGAGACCTGAACATGACCTGGGGCAGCAAATTTGCTGAACTCAATAGAGGTGATCTCCAGAGAGATCTGACACCATCAGATGTGGACCCATTTGTGAGATTCAGACATACCCATGCTTGGATATAGGCCCTTGCACTGGAGGCACATCCACTCATCACAAATATTTTCAGTTTATCTGTACATTACCCTGTTCCATCCTCTTGGATCTTAGAAGTTTGTACTATCTGCTTGTTCCCACTTTACAGATGAGGAAAGCAGGGTCCAGAAGGTGAGGGGATGAGCCTAAGGTCACAGCTAATCTGAGGTGGCATAGGGACTGGAATAAATCTTGACTGTGTTTTCTCTGTCTCTCACAGGAGCAAGTGGTGAAGAGTGAGTTCTGTGTGCAGTGTAGAAGGGCTGTGTGCCCTGTCTCTGAGTTCTTTTCTGTTATGTTTCAACATAAAACAATCCAGGAAAAGGCCAGGCACAGTGGTTCATGCCTGTAATCCCAGCACTTTGGGAGGCTAAGGCAGGTAGATCACCTGAGGTCAGGAGTTTGAAACCAGCCTGGCTAAAATGGAGAAACCTGTTTCTACTAAAAATACAAAAAAATGAGCTGAGTGTGGTGGCGCATGCCTGTAATCCCAGCTACCTGGGAGGCAGGAGAATTGCTTAAACCCAGGAGGTGGAGGTTGCAGTGAGTCAAGATTGCACCATTGCACTCCAGCCTGGGCAACAAGAGGAAAACTTCATCTCAAAATAAATAAATAAATAAATAAAACAACCATTCCAGGAAAATATTCCCAGACCAGAGCTCTCAGAAACAGACATGGCAAAAGTGTGTTTTTTGGCCTCTGGGACCAAGGGAAAATAGTCCAGGAACAAGATGCTCTTTGGCATTCATTTGGTTCTTGGCAGATCAAGCAGTAACAAAGCAAACACGGGAAGAGACTAGGAGTATACTTAAAAGTTGTAGAATTTGGGGATAAATTTTAATCCCCCCCTTCTAAAAGTTCTGTAATTTAGTTATATTTCTGTCATGAAAAACAACTTCACAATGAACAAAATAAATGTGAAGATTCAGAGCAGCTGGATTTCTTCCTAAGGCCACTGAGAGAGGGCTGGGCAGTCATTGGCCACAAAACCAAAAGCTGCCGCTGTGCTCTTCAGGCAGTGAGTGGATTGCGAAGCCTGGGATGCAGTTACAACCTAGAGGATAAGGGTTTGTTTTGTCCCAACTCCCAGTCGGAGAGCCCAGTGGCTTGTTTTCTTTTCAATTTCTTGCCAAAGAAGTCTGTGTATTAGTAAGTCTGGTTTCAAATATTGTGACCTTTTTTGTGTGATGTCTCTGTAGAAACTTAACTGATCCAGGGCATGAGGGTTGGATAAGCCCTTGGAGATCACCTCATTCCATTCCTTTTTTTTTTTTTTTTTTGAGATGGAGTCTCACTCTGTTACCCAGGCTGGAGTGCAGTGGCACGATCTTGGCTCACCGCAACCTCTGCCTCCTGGGTTCAAGCAATTCTCCTGCCTCAGCCTCCTGAGTAGCTGGGATTACAGGTACCTGCCACCATGCCCAGCTAATTTTTATATTTTTAGTATAGATGGGGTTTCACCATGTTGGCTAGGCTGGTCTCGAACTGCTGACCTCAGGTGATCTGCCAGCCTTGGCCTGGGATTACAGGCATGAGCTACTGTGCCTAGCCATCATTCCATTCCTTTTAAAGTTGGAGATGTGGCAGCTCAGAGGGAAAGGTCTTCCATCCAAGCAGGGTCAGGGCTAAGGTCAGTTGATGTCCTCCCACTGGGTCTCTGGCTTGTGGATGTAGCTAGGGTGATGGGTCAGAGAGGAAGGGGATCTAGGTGGTGTGCTGAGAACCTGTGGCCTGATTGTATCATCCATTAAGTCAGTTCCTCTGATGAAGGAGACCAAAATTTAGCTATGATGCTGGGGTAAGGCAGTTAGCTCAGCTCTGCCCTTGGTCACAGATAGCACCTTCAGTACTGAAAGCAGCTTTCACTGGTAGGGAAGGCAGAAGATGGAAATGACGTTTCATATATCCTGACAGCCCTTCCCAGAGTTTTGGTAGAGCACTTCACACACATTCTTTCCCTTGGGCCTTATGACAACCTTGTGCATTACTGTGGGCCTGGAAGATTATCAAGGACCCTAGTTCTGAAGGGAAGGACACTGAGAAGAAGCAGGAGAGGTGGTGGTGAAAAGAATTTGTGGTGACCAGCCTGTGCCACACACTTTATATGGCCTTCCTGGAGCCAGGCTTTTTCTCAGGTTCCAGATGAGGACACAGGCTCAGCCCCCATGGCTGTCAATTGGTGGAGCCATGATTTAACCCAGACCTCCTGGATCCCAAGTCCATCTGCTGTTGGGAGTGCAAATGGGTACAGTTCTTATAGGAGACCAATTTGGCAAAATCTAACAACATTAAATACACACATACCCTTTTCTCTCAAATTCCACACTTAGGAATCTATCCAACATTTATACCGGAACATTTTTACATAAACAAGCAGTATGTATAAGTCTTATGCCCAGGAAAATGTCTGGAAAAATGCTTACTCCATGTCCCCAGCTTCTGTGGGGCCCTTCCCCAAACAGGCTGTGTCCTGGTTCTCAGTGTGGCTGGCTGGAAGCCAGAGGGACTCAGCCTTTAACTCAGAATGCTCCATCCATGCCTAGGACAGATAAAATCTCCTTTCACATGATTCATTACTCCTTAGGGTGGAGGTTTAGGAAAGGGGCGAGGCATCCAAACTGCCCACTTCCTGAAAGTCAGTGGTCACATCCGGCATGGGGACTTCAGTGACCTTCCTCTCACTCCTCCAGCAACCGAATCAGAGCTCCCTGCTCAGCTGCCTCTATGCTATCTGCCCCTCCTTTCTAGCATGTGTCCCACAGTACCGTCCCTCACGTATTTATTTTTCTTCTCATGGGAAAAGCAAAGACCATAACCTATTTATTGCCATCTCTAGTACTCAAGATACTACACCTAACATATGGGTGGCTTCAGGGATTTGTTTGTCTCATGGATGGATTAATTTAGTTTCTCCTCTCTATGTCTTTAACTAGTTTAAAGCAGGGCCCAGGAATATCTTTATAAGAAGCATGGGCTTTCTGGAAAAGTCTATTTACCCAAATCTTTCTATATTAAAACTTAGAAAACATAATTCCATTTTTTTTATTATTCAACATTTTATACATAAT